TGAGGGCAGACCATGTTTGAGAAAAATAGGACAAAATTCTTCGAAGTTGTGCTGCTAATTGGATGCTTGATCTTACTGGAAAGTTAGCACACTATTTTTCTCGACTTTTTACGTACTTCATTATTTATATGCTTGTAATTTTTAGGAAACGTTCCATCATCACCGCCGTTCTTTAAACCCTCTTGCAGAGCCCTCAACTCAACTCCTATTCGCGACGCTAAACCGCCTTCTAGCGTTGCAACTGGAAAATTGGAGTGCCGTCCGGATAGGACCTTTAGCCACATCCTCTCATCCTGGCATAATAAGCCTTCATCAAGGATGTCTGGTGGTCCAAAAGAGTCAGAGCAGATGTTCGTTATTGAACTGATAAAACGTGGGTCCAACGTTTTTTGCACTGGTGGTGCTGGCACGGGAAAGTCCCATCTTATCCGAAGGGTTCTTGGTAAGCTTTGGCCATATTTATTATGGAACCGCCAGGTAAAACTGATCAAGTCTTTCGGCTTTCTTGCATCATACTTCGGGCCTTGTTCCCTTGTCCAGTACCCGTTTTTAATTCTGTTTGTTACCGTCTTTGCTGGTTTATCACGCTGTTAAATCTCGAATGTCAAGAGTAAATGATAACTGTTGTTCGGCCGGATCTCATGCTCGCATTAATTTTTGTCTGTGTTGAATCTCCCTCATAAAAGTTCGATTTAACCAAACCCGGAATTATCTGTTACTCTACATATGTGAGTTTTGTCTATTAACGCGGGTAGATAAAGTTTAAAACCACTGGGGTTCAAAGGACTTCGCCAAACAATTGAATATGAAAACTAAGTGACCTTTCGAAGATCTCCTATCCTGAGCTTCTGCCGACCGATGATGTTATATCTTTAAAAACTGACCGGCTGTTTGGGGCCGTGTAATCCCCATGAGGCACCAGTTCTCAGCGTGTTACCAATATTCTGTTGTATGATATGATGATTTGAGCAAATCACTATAGTTTTTGAGGGACATACGGCTTACAGCACGGTAGGCGTATAAGTTAATGGTGCCGGCCTTTTGCTCGACAGCAGTATACAAAACACTCTCACGTTGGGCTAAAATGGACGTCATCGATTCTGAACCTGGAATGGAAGTCAATGGTTCTCTCCAGCTAGGTATGGAAGTTT